TTTTTTCGATAACCCACTTTGTTTGACCAATAAATCTTGTCTGGGTTTGGCAAATCAAAGTGAAGTAAAACTGTCTGGGTTTGGCAAATCAAAGTGAAGTAAAACTATGTACTTTTTAATCATAGGCACCATATTTGCTTCACTGAAGACAAAGCACCTATAAGAAGGATCCTAAATTTTCATGATAGCTCTAATTAAATTATTGTCCACATCTACTTAGAGTAGTGAAGCTATATCTTCATATTTGTTCTCAAATACCTCTTATTTTGTTCTACTCATGCATCCCAAAATACTATTTTAGTCAACCAAGTCATTTTGTTGAAGATCGAGATGAACTCTCTCAAGCAATAATGAGATAAAACCCTTAGGTAGACAGTTACCCTCTTTTTTTTTTACTTTTATCTGACTTTATTTTCAACTGATGAGCAAATTCATAATAAATTGATGTAGACTTTGATTGATTTGGCTTTTCATGGATGTAGATATGAGATCTGATTTATCAATAACTGATATGTGGTAAATATTCTCTATATAAGAATGATGCAAATGCAAACTGTTAAACATGATAACTAAAATAATGTATAAAATGCACAAAGTCAAACAAATAAAATGGTTAGATAATCAATATATCACACAAATTGTTCCTTCTTATATCCTAACTTCGGGTTACATCTATTAACGGATATAATGGCTTTATCTTAAAGCTAGCCTTTTAAGTGTAGATTATATGCTAAGCTAAGTGATTTTGACCACTAAAGGTTCCCAAATTATTTTTTACATCATTGTCTATCACAGACTAGTAAAGCATTTCAATCATCACCTATCATAGGCTACCAACGAAAAGGATTCAATTTAAGTGGGAGTATTTCTCTAGCCATTGCAGTGATTATCATTTTATGAGAGCGTAGGTACTTTACTCCTTCCTAAGAGGGATGGAGCCTAGGTATAGAGCTCACGTAATGTAAAATACATGTGATAGTGTATGTGAAAAAACATATCAATGTCATCCCCCATAAATAAAAGACAAAAAAGGAAAAATGTTAGTAAGCAAATAACAAAATCCTTACATTTTGAAATCATTAGATCAAAGGATAGGATAAATTTAAAATGTTATGGCCTGACTCTCTATTAGTCCACAATGAAGTCGTCAAACTATTATAATATATAGATCCAAAAATCTATAGCTAGACTTAATATAAGGAGTCGCCACTAATCTTTTTTATATAGGTGTGATTGGCCATCTAATGAATCTATCATTTAAGGAACTCCTAAGCTTGACTAAGGGTCCCCTAAAAGAATATGTTCTAATTTACTAATCAGAACAAGATTTAGGAGTTGGTTACATATGAAGAAGATTATAGCACTCCCACATGTCCATCTAAAGGATGGTACCATTGTATTTTAAACTATCCTAAAGTCTTTATTCTAGTGATCTTAAATTTATATTGGAAATAATTTTCAGGATTTATACATCAATTTAGCAGAATTCATAAAAATACTTCCTCACCTCAAGAGTATTCAAGAATCCTATTTATTTTCTTGAAAAAGCTCTATCGTTGGAAAAACTTAATCATTTATTTTTTATTAAATTTTTATTTTATTGAAAATATATCTATTTTTTCTGCCATTTAATTCAAAATTAGAAATATTTTCTCACATATAAATATCTTAGATAATCATCCATTTGCGATTACTACAAATTTCATCCTCATAATTTATTTTTACAATTTTTATTTCTATTTCTAAATTTTTCATCATTTGGACCTAATTTAAAAAATTTTCTTATAAGTTTAATTTCTAAATTTTTCACCATTTGGGTCTATTTAGAATTTAAACCCTTGTTAATCTACTAATATTTAGAAATAACATAACATGACAGCTATTTTTTGAAGTCTCATTTAAATTCACAATTTGAGTTGAATTTAAAGAAATTTCTTTCGTAGATATTTCTTTAAAAATTTACCATTTGAAATTTTTAAGATTCTCATCTTTGGATAATTATCAAATATTTTCACCCAAAATTTTAAGTTAGATTGTAAATTTTTATTTGAAAAAAAATATAATTACTTTTATTAAAATTTCAACTAAATTATTTCACCACTTGGGTAAATTTTAAATAAATTCTTTACATAGAGATTTTTTAAAAAATTTACCATTTGAAATTTTTAAGAATCTCATTATTGGGTAATTAATATTTTAATTCCAAAATTTTTATTAAATTTGTGTTTTTATTATTTTTAAATTGAAAATAAATATTAATTATTATTATTAAAATTTTATCTAAATTTTCCTCCATTTTGGTCAAATTTAAAAAAATTTCTCACCTAGTAATTGTATAGAAATTAATCTTTTGCAATTTCTAAAAATTTTATTATTTGATAATTATTATTTATTTTTAAAAGTATATTAATATTTTATTTTATGTTATAATTTTATTTTCTAATTTCCCTAAAAATTAATCATGCATAGTACTTTAAAAAATAAATAAATAATAATCATAAAAAATAAAAAAATACCCAAATAGGAATCGGCTCGACTCAGTTGACATGATACAACTCAGTTATAGAAAAAGAGGGTGGCTGGAACAGCTCAGCTCTCGACTTGGTTAACTGGAGCCAAGGGCTTTGGAGCACAGGTTAAGGACGAGTTTGCGACCAAATCGAGCTAACCCAAATGAAAACTAACAGATTTGGCAAAGACTAAAATGTCAGAGCGGCATTGTTTAACAAACGTATAAAAAGGTCAAATTTCCCTTGTTTTCTCAAATTTTTCCTGCACTCTCTCTCTTCAACTTTTTTCTCTCACACTCTCTCTAGAAACTAATGAACGCCAATCGCCGTATTCTGGAATCCTCATCGGAATTTAAAAATCTCATTGAATTGTTCAAACTTCATTGGAATCTTCACTAAAGACTAAAAAAGTTCATCGAAATCTTCACCAAAATCTGAAAATTTCATCGGAAAGTCCAAATGTAGTTGAAATGTTCACCGAAAACCAAAAAAGTTTGTCAACAAATTCAACAAATTCTGAAATTTTTCAAAATTTTCTAAAATTTATGAAAATTCCTCAAAAAATCACCAGTTGAGCCTCAGAAAACAAATCAAACTTTTCCAAAACTAAATCAAAACCTTTTGCCAAAAGCTTTTCTAAAAATAAAAAATTGGAGTTAACTGCTTTCTTCTCTGATTTCTAAGGATGCCTCTTTTTCCTGCTGATCTTTCTATGTGTCTTATTGCTTGATTTAGGTTTATATTTATAGGGATCTGATCATAAGAACCTTAAACTAAAACAAGTTTCAATTATTTTTCAATTTCAATTTCAAACTTTAAGTCCAACTCAAACTTTATATTCAAAAGAAACAATTTTATACAAACTTAAACACTTAATTTTTTTTATTATTTTATTATTTATTTATTTAATAAACTAAATAATTACAACTCCAGACAAATTGAGATATTACATTCATAATTATTTTCGTTACATTATCATTGGCTTGCCGTAACCTTGTGTTGATGTAACAACAAAATGACATTTTATACATTATTAATAAAATTTTTTAAACTTAATAAATGAAATTAAAAAATTATCATTTATTATTTTTTAAATGTACTTATGTAGCAACCAGCAACCCTCGAGTCCCACTACTGAAATAACTCTACGAATGTATTAGAAAATTCTTTTTACTAAAAATAATAATAATAATAATAATATTATTCAATTTAAATATGTATAAATAACTTTAAAAAAATACCTTATTTAAACGGGAGAATTATTTTACTTAATTTCAATGTTTTATGTCATTTTCATGGAAATACCTTAATGGGTAGAATTTGAGATTTTTTTGTGAAGTTATCGAATTCAAATATTAAAATAAGTGAAATGATATAGAATGGTAAAAGATAATCTCACATTATATCACTCAAAATCCTTTTGTTAAAAAAATAATTCCAGTGTTTTCTAATCAAGGCTATACTTATAAGTATTTTGTAATTTATTTGCATAATATAAGACTTGCATGCTTCCCTGTTTTATTTATGCTAAAATTTGATACAAGGACGAAAAAATGTTCTTTTTTTTTAATTATGTTTTACAATAAATCATACGTGAAAAAAATGGGTAGTTCTGTTTTATTTTTGAGCACCAAGTGGGTAATTGCGTTTAAAGTGGCTGATTACTATTTTTTAAAGCGATGAAAGTACATAAATATTTTTAACTTTATATTTTTTTATTTTAAATTGAATTGGTATCATTTAACTCTGTTAAAAATTTTAAGAATACTAAGTACAAATAAAAAGTTATAGTGTGTGTGTGTTTTTTTTTTTTTTTATATTTATTTCTCCACAAATTTTACCATCTAAATTCGCAAGTTCAAAACATATTTCATAATTACCTTTTTCTACTACTATTATTGTTATTACAAAATCATTATAATCCAACTATAAAAGCTAAAATAATAAAAGAAAGTTCTTAAATTTTATTATATTATGAATTTATATATTTTTGTTATATCTAAATAATTTTTTAAATTTTAATTTATATTTAAATAAAATTTTTATCTTTAATTTATATTAAATAAATTTTTAATATAAATTAATTTTTAAAATAAACTCTTAACATAAATTAATATTTTGTTTGAAATAAAAGTTTAATTGGACACAAATTAAAAAATAAAAATTTATTCAAGTATAATAAAAATATAAAATAAAATAATTTTAGAACTTTTTAATATTTTAGCCAATTATAAATATTAAAAAAATCAAAGAGATTAAAATAATCCTAATAATTTAAAATATAATGCAATAATATAATATGAATATAATGTGAAAATAAGATATAAAAATGATATGAATTAAAATTTTAACAATAATTATATATAAATTTAACAAAAAATAATATATTTTATATTTTTATATGATAAAAATTATAATACATAATTTTCATATAAAATATAATATAAATATATAAATTTTAATATTTTAACAATAGCTGAATCGCTGGTCTACTTTAAGATTTTGAAGTTGAAGTGCAAAATTAAGGGCCAAAATGAACCCACCTTTAAAGATTCAGGGCCAATGTATAAAACTATAATCACATGTTTAGATAAAAAAAAAATGAAAATCATCTCCTCCTCCCTATCAGCATATCGACTCCGCCGCCGCACAGAGCCCACAACCATCGATCACCACTCCGGCTATATTCTTTCCTAGCTCTTTCAGGTCTGCTCTGTCACTTTCACTTATTTAACAATACATTCTCTCTCTCTTTCATGTTTTTTGCTGCCATATAGTAAAATTTATCACTGCATTCGAACTGAACAATCAAATCCAACATTTTCTTTCATTATCTATAGGCTAAAACAAAGAGATGGGTGCGGAGGCAAACGGAGCAGAACAGACTCCTACAGAAACAACGCAGGAGACTGTTGAGGAACTACTCGAGGTTATTAACTTCGTCAATTGCTTCTTATTGCTTTGCCCTTTTTTTTTGGGTTGTTTTCTCGATTTTATGAGGTTTTGCTTGGTAGTAAAGATAGTTAGCTAGGAATGATAGAATATTGAAGGGAAAGGAAAAGAAATCTTATTACTAGCATTATGCTTCAAATTATAACTCTTCAGTATTTTCTTTCAATTAGCACTTCATAATCAAGTTAAGTTGTTATATGTTCTATGTTTGACAGGCTGCACGGTATGATGACATGGATGATCTTATAAGACTGGCTTCTACGGGTGTCTCTCTTGATTCTAAGGATTCACAAGGCCGAACGGGTTCCTATTAATTTTATTGCTTTAATGCTCTTTAAATTTACTTTGATTATTGATTGTCTCTCACATCTTACTTGTTGCATGTTGCACTTAATTGTCTTGAATAAAGTTTTCTATCTTTATCATGATTGGTAAAATCTGGTTTATGCGGAGGAGATCGGATTCTACAATTTAGCTAAGAACTGTTTTACATGAGGGAAAAGGATATTGCAGCATGTCTTTGAGATCTAAAAATGACCTTTATAATACAGTTTTTTTTAAATTTTGGATAGTGGTATAAATGAGCCCTACTGAGCCGAATGTATAATTGCCTGATCCACAATTGCTATAGTTTAGTCGGTCAGACACAGTTCACTAGGTTTTAGGTTGTGTGGTTGAACACTGCTTGCTGAACTTGGACTGTCTTTGAACTTGACCAAAGCCTTGTTGGGTGCATGTCCCTAGAGTTTGAACTTGACTCAAGTCCAAGTTTAGACAATTGAGACCGTTTTGGCTTAATTATGACAAGTTGCAACATTTGTGTCTGATTATTTACTAACTATTATGAAGTCATATTTTGACTGCTCATTGGAAGGTCATTTTTCATTTTGAATTGATTCCTGACTAAAGGACAGATGAACATCTGCGGAGAAAAAGAAGCTTTGTGGCATTTAAACTATTAATCAAAATGAAAAATACAGTCTTCACATTATTAGTCTCCATCTTCTGCCAACTCTGCCATCATTGCCATGACCAACCATCAGGATTCAGGACTATTTCCTTGCTTTCAACCATTGCTTATATCACCCCAATATAACCAGCACAATATTCCCACCACACCAGCATTAAGATAACAATAAAATCAGTTTATAAGACACTATATTATTTATTATAAGCCTACTCATTAAAGCACAAGTCTACAATTCACATATTGCAGGATTTTAGTTGATGGACTTTTAAATTCCATCGCTTTGTCAACTTTTAGGAAAATAATATGTTTTTCATCCAAATGTAGGAATGTTGTGTTTCCTCCTTTTTGTTTTGTTGGTCGACCATTGTGCTAATTTAAAGAAATTTCTTGGCATTGTGATTTTCATCGGTGCTTATTAATTGCTGCTATTGTGTTTTATTTGCATTTTTTTTTAATTATCTTCGTATATTTCACTAAGTGACTGTGTTTTATATATTGCAGCACTTCATATGGCTGCGGCTAATGGACATCTTGATATTGTGGAATATCTCATTGGTAGTGGTGTGGTGAGAAAACTGTCATATGAGTATTTATTTTTGTGGTTATTTTAATATGTATCTCTCTATTTGCTAACTGCTGAGTTTTCTGAAAGACTTCAGCATTTTGACTGAATACTTGAATAGGCATGTGCCATATTTGCAAGGTTTAATTAGACCACAATAAGAAGAACGAAGTGTATTATTCAAATAATTTTAGACTTTCTTGGTTTGGAGGTTTTTCTTCATCTTTTACACAAGCTTGTGAGGACTTTTTGTTTTAAGTTTAAAAGGAAAAGAAAAGAAATGCTTGAAGTTACAGAAACAGAAGGAAGGAGAAGAAAGTCATTTGTTGTTTTGGAAAAAAGGGCAAAAAGTACACTATCCATACCAATAGGCATCCTGCCCAAGAGTTTCCTTCATAGGTGCTGAAAGGGGGGGGGGGGGTAATGAAGCAATTTTCCTTCCATTTACACAGCATTAGACAAGCATGTTATGAGATAGCCTTGTTAGGACAGTTTCAACTCTCATTCCTTGGGTTTTTGGTGTGGCTGGTTAAAATTAAGCTGCAATCAATGACTTACTTGTAGGATGATCTTTCTTTCCAGGAAGGATGGAAGATTTTTGTTAGTCAATTCCTTCTTTAGCAATTTAATGCGAGAATTGTTTGAAATACCTGTGCGATTTTTTATGGTGGTTTGATAAGGTTCCATATTTGACCTCAAGAGGTCCAATGGTAAAATTCCTTATAGTTTTTTTCCTTTTCTTCTCTGTTGTCCGTCCAGTTCAAATGTCTCTCACTCTCCATAACTTTAGTTCTTAGCTTTTCCTCTCTTCTTCTTAACACTCTTGATTAAAAATTGTTTCTTTTTCCTTTTCTTCTAGCTACGAGATCTCTCTCAAACTCTTAAAGTCTTGCCTCGTGATCTATATTATCTTGGATGTTTCTCTCCATTGCCTTCTCTCACCCTTCTAGATACATCATTGATGAAAACCTGAGGATGGTGGGCTGTTCCTTTCAGTATTTCTTTTTCCCTTTTCTTTTTTGGTCTTTCTATGCAATCACTTTAATTGAGATTGGCTTCATTATGTTTAGTTCCTACAGACACACATGTCATTGGTGGAGACTCAACCTCCAGGCTTGTACGGCTCCAAGACCTGGACATGCACTCATTCGGCATCTAAAATCAGCCTAAAGTCCACACCCTTCTGAGGTATTGTCCCCTTCCTTGGTCTCATGGTTTTGTCCCACAAAAGGCGCCTCACAAGGAAAAGGTGGTGTGAACCCTTTTATACCCCAGTGACCCCCCTTTCATGTCTGATGTGGGATTGGAGTACCTTGCCTACTTCCCCTTGGAGCGCTTGCTGTGACATTCTCCCCCACCCAACCTCGTGACGTCCTCGTCACGGAGGCTGGTCACCCTACCTACCTCCTTTGAGGCGCTTGGCATGGGTCGAATGGTCCAGAGCCTACTCTGATGCCACTTGTCACGAGTTGAAACTCAATCTCTAGGCTCGTGCGGCTCCAGGTCTCAGGCATACACTCATCTGGTGTTCTAGATCATCCTAAGATCCACACCTTTGTGAGGTATTGTCCATTCTAACCCTTCTTTGATCTCACGGTTTTGTCCCACAACAGGCGCCTCACAAAAAAGAAGTGGTGTGAATCCTTTTATACTCCAGTGACCTCCCTTTTATGTCCGATGTGGGATTGGAGTACCTTGCCGCCTCCCCCTTGGAGCGCTTAGCGTGACACACAAACATACATAGATGATGAGTATGAATGAATTATTGTTGATCCAGCCATTGTTTTGAAACCCTTTTTCATTATCTTCGTCTGCTTCTAGCCCTTTTATACCCATATTATGCAACTATTCTAGGTTGATCAAAGTAATTCTTTTTTTTTTTTCCTTGCCTAGACAATTCTGCTAATAAGGTATTTCTTATTTATATTTAGAGAAGGATAATTGTTCCTGCAAGCATATTGTTGGGTATGATTAAGTATTATGAAAAGTTACAAAACCCTCTTGACTAGCAACAATGTTAAGAATTTTCCATAATTGTGTAAATATCATACATGATATAGGTTTTATTTGCTTTCAAGATTGGATTAATTTTCCTGTGTTATGAAGTTTTGTTGGTTTTCTACAATTCTATGTTTTGCATTTCATTAATGTTTTCAACTATAGAATCCTACTTTGAAAAGCAATTATCCAAAGGTGAATTTTAAGAATTGCAGCATTAGAAAATTTTAAGAATTTTTCTCATATCTTATACAAGCTCAGTCTCTGGCCAAAAGAAAAAACCCCAAGCTCAGTTTAAGGGACTTTCAGGACTCTTGGTCATAGAACATAATTAGTGTGAATAATAACTAAAGTAGGGTTTGGTGAGGAGAATATTTAAGTCAATAGCTAAAGTTTAGGAGGAGAATTAAAGATGTGATTTTTTGGTAATTATAAATCCTCAAAATGCATTTGTTGGGGCTGAGAGATTTTGGATTCTAATGGTGGTTTTATGAAATGGACTTTTAGATTGTACTCTTTGATTTAGAGCTTTGAAAACTGGATACAATAGGAAGGCCCATGACCATTTACATTGGAGTTTCTACCACAACTTATTGGAGGATGTGGGCTTTGGAGCAAGGTGGTGTGGGTTAATGTAAAGAAACTGTGACTTTTGCAGTTGATAATGTTGAGGGTTTGGCAGCATTTGTCCAACAGAGGATCTTTCATTATTTATAAACATACTGTAGCTATCTAACCAAATAGCTTTTATGTCTCTTTGAAATTTCGATATGCACATGAGATGGAGAAGTTAAATACCATTTGGTTAATTGCATTGAAGATTGTTCTCCAATTCAAGTGGTTGGCATTAAGTGAGGTGATGTGTGTGGAAGATGAATATTCAAGGATTAATTTATAAAGGAGTTTAGTGTTCTTAGTCGAAGTGTGATTAAATGCAAACACCATTTATTGGAAACTATATGCTACAGGTAGAATTCTACCATTAATTGTCAATTGTTATCCATCCATGATTTTAGACTTTTTGTACCCATGTAGAGTCATGATGGAACCCTCTCTATAGATGGTCAATGTTCATGTAGTGTAGAATTAAAGGGTTTTTTAATGGTAAACATAAACCACATTGTAGTCAGTCTTTTGTCATGCTTTCAAATTTTGATGTGGCAATACACTGACTACCTTTCCATCGAGGAAGATCCCAGAGGTCAGTCCCTGATAACATTTCTTCTTTGCTTGGATGGAAACAGTTTTTTCCTTGTATTTATTTGAGCTTATATTATTTAGTATTTTTGCCTCTATTTCTTGCTAAAGGTTACAACGAATTTTCCTACTTTAAAAGCTGCTTTTATGTATCTTTAGAGTTTATTAGTTATCTTTTGTGGAACATTTTGTTTACATTTGGAAGCTTCTACCTGATCAGGATGTTGATGCTTCTAATGTGGAGAAGAATACCCCTCTTCATTGGGCTTGTCTCAATGGTCATGTTGAGGTAATTATGCAACTCCTGTTTGATACAGGTTGTCATTTTAGCTATTCATGTGCAATGTTTGAATTCTTTTATAAATGCTGGTGACAGGTAGTTAAGAAATTAGTTTTATCAGGAGCACATGTAAACCTTTTAAATAGGTGAGTTATTTGTGATGGCAATATTGAGTTTAGTAATTCTTTGTTTGAGTTTTTTTTCCTCCTTTCAAATACATGATTATTTCTGGAACTGGGTAATGAGCAGCCATGAGCGGACCCCAATTGATGAAGCTGTGAGCATGGGAAAGATGGATGTTTTGGATGCAATTAATGCCACAAGTGCTGAATTGGAGCTTACTGGTGTCAATGTTTCCTAATGTTGGACCTTCATATTGGAAGCATTGTTTTATAGTTCGAGAAGTATGTATCTTTTCTCATACAAACTTATGAGTTACTTTATAATCTAATCTTCTTCCCTTCGTTCCCATCCCTGATTGTACAAAATTTTGGTGATTGCCATAGTGGCCCTTTAGTGGCCTTCTTCTGACTTTGCCTAAACGCTTAATTGTTCTTTAATATGAAAGGTATATGTTTCAACAAGAATTTTGTCTTGCCCTTTGCTCCAAGGAGCATCCCATTTATGCTTGTCTAAACCGATGATGCTCGTGGAGGAATAAAGGGTAGAAAAGATCCTCATTTCTCCCCCTTTTCCCAGATTAATTGATTGATTAGCTATTATATATAAGATGAAAGTAGTTATAAAGTTTGTGCTTGAAGGTGCTGTTTTCTGCATCTCAGGTAAATAATCACATCCTCATTCTCTTTGCCTAAACATTTGTCAACGATCAACAGTGGTGTATTGTGTGTGTGTGTGTGTGTGTGTGTGTTTTCATATCTGGGACGAATCGGAATCAATCTAGTGGAATTTTACGACGTGGATGTGTTCTTGAGCTGTCATCCTTTTTTTTTAATGTTAAGGAAAGTAATGATGATTGAATCCCAACCATTATGAGCCTTGCTTATTGCTTATTTCCAACTCCTTCAACACCAAAAGAATGGTCTATCTTTACGAAAAGAAAGTTTATTCTGTTACTTGAAATGGCCATGTAATTTTGAGAATCAATTTCTTTTCTGTTTAGGAAAAAGAAATCCTCTTTTTGGCATTAATTTATTATTGCTATTTCCCTTTGAATTTCATTACATTTTCCTGGAATCCAAGTGATATTTTGGATGAACAGCAGGAGGATTTTTTTTTTTTTTGTAACTTATTTGAGCTGTTCTAAATATATATGGGTTTCTTACGATGTGATCATTGGCCATGGACAAAAATTATTTGAAATGTCAAAAAAAAAAAAAAAAAAAAGAGACGGAGGAATAAAGTAAGGTATACTTGCCTCGCGATCTAACATTAATGATATTTTTCTTATGAAGATCTAAAAGCATATCATTTACAATTATTAAATTATAATTATTCAATCATAATATAAAATTGTATAACGTTCATTATAATTTTTCATGGAACTCGTAATTATTAGTGATGCGTTGGAAGCATATCGTTGTATCCTATCATTGCATGGGTTCAACAACATGCTTCTCAATGCTAACTATCATTCTTTTCTAGCTGCGAGAGGGCGTATATAAGTAGATAAAACCCTAAATTTCCTAATCCCCTCTCCTACTATAAGTGCAAGAGAGACCGTTTCTCAACAAGAAGAGCTTGTTTTGTGCTTCCATATTTTTTTTTGTTTAGAAGGGATTGTGATTTGAAAATTAAAAATAAAATTATAGGGGAAGGAATTTGAATCGAGATATGATTAATTTAAAGAAGGTATTCAACACTAGTGACCCCACCTTGTGAAAATTCTATTCCTCCTTTCATGGGACATTAAACATGCTTTCAATGTTAGTGCATTGAGCAACAAGAATCAATAAGTAGTATAATAATAAATATGGAACTTTTACAACACTTTTTCCCACTTTGTTTATGAGTGTACTGGGAATGATTTAATAATAGCAGCATCATGGGTATAGCATCACCAAAAGAGACTTTTGAAATGTTGTATCCCAAAACCTTTTAATCAAAATTAATTAAATATTATACAGAAACAGACAGCAAAGGCACCACTGTCTTTTTTTTCTTTTTTTTTTTGAGGAGGTTAAGGATTAAGAGAAATAAGAAAAAAAATATTTGTAAATGTCAGAAATTAAACTTCAATTTTGTTAAAAATCAACTCTTAAATAAAGTAAATAAATCATCTTAATTAAATTCCAATTACAAAACCACCAACATTTGCCCGCTGGAACAATAATAATAATAATAATAATATCTCATGGAGGACTGATTGGTTGGGAATATGACATGCTTCCTTGCTCATTATTTCTCAGCTACAAAAGGCTTAGATATATTGCTCATGCTCATTATCCCCTACAAAAGCTTAATCACCAACACTTTAATTAATTGAGTCGATAATCATGGGTTTTAAAGCAAATTATTTCAACTTTTCTTCTTTACTACACTGTGAAATTAATAATAATTACTTTTTAAGTTCTAAGGACTAAGCATAATAAGATCAACTACTAACCCACCATTAATTTTAACATTATTATCCCTAAATACATTTTATATTTCGTGATGGAACAATGAATAATTTCCCACTCATCAATGACAATCATAAGGAATGATGCAATGCTATAAATCACTTTAAATGGGAAGAAAATTCTTCCAAAATTTCAATAATTATTTTGTATAATAATTTTTATCTTCAAACATATTCAAATGATTACATATTTGTATTTGTATACGTGCGTATGCGAATGATAAAGATCAAGAGAAAGGGACAGCATCACATGCCAAGTGAGTGTAATTTGCAAGCTTCCAATATTATCAAATCTACTAGTACTGGCAAATAAATAATGTTGATTAGCTAAGAGCATTTGAAATAGGGGATATTCCAACCCTAATATTATGCAAAACAGGGGGAAAAAAACGCAAAATTAATCCTCTTTAGAAGCAATTGAACAAAATGCAAGGAATCAGTTCGTACGTGCAAGACAACATTGTGGTCGATCGTCCAATTGATGCTGCGATCACTTCTCCCCAACACCAAAGTCTTCGTCCTCCTTCCAGGCCCCATCATAAAGGACAAAGCTCTTCTCTCTTCCCTCCATGCAAGTACTGTTTCTTGTCTCTTCTTTTTCTTTTTCAGGATTAAAAAAAAAAATCTACTAGAACTATTAATTATAACTCCAATTTAACATAATTCCAGCATAACCTGATGAGCTGAATACTGTTAATACCATTTCTTTCTTTTAAGAGCCATTGTCTTGTTTACTAATAATTGACAAAGCAGACAACTTTGCTTACAAATGAAACTTATGAGAATATTATTTGGATATAAAAGTTTCACATTGCTCACAAGCAAGGCAAGACCCTGAAAATTTTACCTGAAAATTGCATGAGGTGTGTCTGACACACGAACATGATAACATGGACCAAAATGACTAGGAATAAACTTTAATGCAAAAAACGTAAAAACAAAGTCCTGCTGGTGCAATGATTTTTGTGTTGGTTGGCTGTGGCTGCACTTTGCAAGAGAGACAGACAGGGAAAGAAAGATTAGTTGACACGTTGCATTCTACTTGGCCAAGAACAAAGCCAACCCCACAACCACAACAAATTTGTACAGATTCTCACTTTTGTAAAAATAGGACACATAATTTGTTCGTTAGTTACAACTGAAACCCTCGCACAATGATTTCCTCCATCCCAATCCCAAATTGCACCAAAAAGTAAAATGAAGTTCACAGCCACTTGTGGAAACTGTCATTTTGGAAATGTGATGACTTTAATTTGCGTTCATTGGCATGGGAAAAACCCATTTCTTTGTACCATCAAAGCCCCTTTAGCACTAAACAGATTAGAGGCTGCTGTCAAGAAGCCAAGGAAAAAAAAATAAGAAAAGCAACCATTGTTGCCAACTTGTTAGATGGAATGGCTATACCTTCTTTTCCCTGGTACATTAAGAAGCATTTTTACTTTCCCATCTACAGTTTTCTTTCTTATGCAGTAACATTTTGTGCATCCATCGATTGCATTAAATTATAGGAGAAACATTCAATACTCGGAGGAAAACTTTGGCAAGGCTCCACGCCGAACCGCCGGTAACATAAATTTTACACATCTTAACCTACATAATACACATGCGCAAGCCATCATGTTCTTAAACATGTTGCAACTCGCTTGGCACTGTGATTTCTTGTAATTCATTTACATCTAGCTTAAGATACGCACAGACACTTAATTATATAATTCCATGAGTTAATGGATTTAATAGACGAGCTATTTAGATGAAAATTATTTCCTTAAATCAATCACGGGTGTAACAGGCCAGTAGCAGGATTCAGACCTTAATTTCAGAAAACATTTTTATCTCCACAGGCTCTGTCCAGAATGTTCAATCCACCTTTCATCATGGTGGTAATCAACAAGTAACTACCAATTATCATGCCCGAAGGGGCATGATATTTGAAGATGTGATCCAACATTCATAAATGCAAATTGCCCTAACGATTTGTAAACTGCACTTGAAAAATGCTTCAAGAGATCTACTGCTTGCTGCAAACAATTGACCCATACGACATGAGTCCTCAGGCTCTAAGCACTACAGGTGCTCAATTAATATATGAAAGAAGAAACTGCACTAGCTGAAACAACCATTCGTTTTATTAAATAGTATGTGGGAGCGGGGAAGATTTTTGCATTTGTACTTATAGATAGCTCATAGCAACATATATATAATAACAAAAATAATCATGATCAGTACTTTGGTAGAAGCATATAGTCAAGCAAATCCAGTTCAGATGCCAAGTAAACATATTTAACTCGAAAGTCTAACCATTTATGGGATTGACCAAGCTCTCAAGCTCTCAGCATACAACGCATCAAGTAATTTCAGTTTTTCTTTGAAATTATTTATTTTTGTTGTAGTTTTGGTTGTTCGAACAAGATGATGCCAAGTGCAAGCAGAATATCCCCATAAAATGTACCACCGTTGAGTTTTAAGGACCCTAAAACGAGTACCTTACTAGAAAGTTACAAGTACTGTAATCACCTGCTAGGAGTTGAATATGTTTGGGGTATAAATTTGAAAGCAATACAGATACAAAGAAAAAGCAGGAAAAAGAAATTATCTTATCATCATGAAGAAGAAACAAATCAGATGTGCACATTAATTATAAGTGACAAGGTAATGGGAGGCTCATGCCACTAAGATACAACTAGAGATATGGACCACATTTTGATTTATTATATTGAAAAAAATGGCAGATTCCAACACTTACAAACTTATCACTACTTTCATGAGTGGACAATGAAAAGACTGTTTGCATGTGAAATGAGCAATTAATTAATTTCAAATCACCAAACAATTCAAAGTGTCACTCGTCGTCATCTATAAGCAGGCTGAAATGAAGCAGATAATTGTAGCATACATCATGTGCTGTCTGCTGCAGTATTCATGCACGATTCATTTAGATTATACAAAAGCTCAACAACAGTTGCACCCAATCGTAATAATGTCAGCCATAGAAACTACTATC